TTAATCACTTTCCTTCTTGCAAAAACACATTATACTTGGAGACTGTTACGGTATTTTTCTTCAGTCTTCTGTTCCATGATTTTTTTTCTTCCTTTCTAGATGAAGAAACTGCAAAGTTTTCAAGACCTTCTTTACAGGTTTTCTGAACTCTGAGATCATTGTCATTCCTCTTTTTGCACTCTTTTGGTTCATTCTTGAGTTTAATGCCTAAAACTGAATGCAGTATCCCAGCTGGCATCTAACCAGGGTATATATAGAACAGATTCTCCATGTCTTACCTATAACACATTTGTAGACAGTGTGATTTTCTTGTTTTATTTTCAAGAAACTGACACTGTAGTCTGACTTTTAGTTTTACTCTCAGGTCTTTTTCTTGCATGACTGCTGCAAGTCCCATTTTATTTTTGCATTTGATTATTGTGTAACATGTTCTATTTACCCGTATCAAAGTGCATCCTGTTTTTCAAAGCACTGCAGCAATTCCCAAGATTATTTGAAGTTCTAAAGCTGTCCCTATAAAAGCAGCTTCTCTTGCCATTGAGTCATTTTGAGTCATTTGAAAATGTGGTCGGGTTATTCATTACTTCTTCGTCCAGTCATCAGTGGAAACACTGAATGATATTGGACAGAACACAGAACCTCTGTGGAACTCTCTCTTAAACTCTTCCAGTCAGATAAAGAAGCCTTGCTACCTTCCTGGTGAATATTGTTGTGACCTTTAGCAGTCGTTCCTGGCTTGCTCGTGTGCCTGTCATGCAAGAAAGTGCCAAAAGTCCATTAATTTTTGCTGCATCTGCTCACCACAGGACTTCCAGCCTCTTACTAAGGAGACTGACAGTGGCTTGGCATTGGTTATACATGTTGGATGTTAGAGATGATCCTTCTTTCCTCTATCTGCTTGAAATGGGTGTGATTGTTCTCTTACACATCTTGGAATCAAACTTGCACCAAGGGGTGTAAAGTCTCTTGCCCCCACCTTCCCTCACAGGTAGCTGTGCTGTGAACCCAAGCAGGTGGAAGCACAGTGCTCTGGTCAGTCCAGAATCATTTTATATCCAAAATAGTTGTCTAAAATGGGCCGTATGAAAAATATTTGTTTCTCCACTGGCTGCAGAAGCAGCAGCCCAGGGTAACTTGTTCAACATGAAAAGCTGCAGAGTAGCTGTGAGTCAAAGCGTTTTGATACAGGTGATCTGATGGCTGCCAGGGATGGATCCCTACCCTAGTGGATGCATTCCTGCTAATTCAGGGAGGCAAGACGGCAGGAAGCTATGTAAAAACAATCTTCTGCTGATGTTAGTTGCTGTTCACATCCCTGAACTGTTCCTATCATTTAAATTTATCATGATCTTATGAAAACAATGGGATTCCTTCAATAGGACATAGGACTAAAAGGACTCCTAGATTACAAGAAAAAGGAAACATAGATTATCAGATAGGTTTTAACATATTCATTATAAGTGAATATATAACTTACAGGACTGATTTTACTTCTACAGAGTATTAGTCACTCCTCACTCCCTTTGCACTAGGAAGCTAAAGAAAACAGCCAGAGACAAAGTAAGCAGTCACCTATTAAAATTTATGTTCTAGCCTCTAGAAGTCCTAAAACTCCTTTTGTTTACTTTCACCTTTTATGACTTTTGCTATTGTATCAACTGTGAGTGGTTTTACTTTGGCTCTACAAAGATTGCTGCCACTGCTGTATTAAGGTTGTGTTGGTCCATGTTTTTTGGCATAAATAATGCCCTTGTGAAAACATGGAAAAGTAGAAATGTATTCAGGCAGCTTTTGTTTTGCACGTATTTCTCTTCTAAACTTTTGTCTGTAGACTTTATTTTGCCTGGCAGTATTTAGCATGCAAAGTATGTTCTGTCTTGTTGCAGTGGGTATCTCAAACAGTTGAAACTGGTTACCTGATAGCAAATTTTTAAAGCATAATTTGGTCAAATCCCTTGGTTATAGTTAAGAGAAACTTCCTGTGGCAGTAGAACAAACAGTCACCAAAAAACCCCACGTATTGAAATGTTACAATATATAATATCATCCTGGTGGAAATTATAGGTCCTTTGAAAGACAGATTTTTTTTCCATATCTTTAGCCAGTAATCGTTCTGTAAAATGACAGGCAGAGTTTGTACAGAGGTATTACTGTTAAAAATATCTTCCAATTTGTCTAATCCTGTTCACAATGGACAGGATGGTGTTTTGACTGTGATTTAAGCTGATTTAAGAGTAGGTTGTTTCCAGAAGGTGTGGTCCCACTGTCACTCCTGCCCTGGGCACTCTATGTCCCAGTGCTGATACAACTGCACAGTGACCTGGATCAGGAACTGATCTGGATAAAACCCAATCTTTTCTTATTAGTCCCTTTGGTTTTCAGCTGCACCAGTTTCCTGTTCTGACTCACTGTGTTGCCTACAAGCCAAAAGGAGCCAGAATGCAAAGCGAGGAGCAAAAGGAACGCCATGATCAGCAGCTTGTTCCAAAATTGGTTTAAACAAATGGTGAGCCTGCAGGCAGATTGAAGGATGGGGTTTCAGCCTTTAGTTCTCCATTTCCTTTCGTTTTTGGTTTTTTGGGGGTTTTTTTGTTTTTTTTTGAGCAGTGTGGATGGTACAACATAGCTATAGAGTTTCCATTACAAATCTCTGTTATATATTAAACTACTGCCCTTTTATTATTTTGAGACTCTCATAGTACTCTTGGTCTGGGTGTAGATTCTGCCACTATAAAACCCTGATCTTGCAGTGGGCTCTGAGGTTCACAGTGCAGTGCAGCATGAAATGGGCTTATCTGACTTCTTACAAACATCTCGTGTTCTGTAGCAGGTGAAATGCAACGCACACCTTCCAAGACTCAGTGTCACTTCCAGCTACAAACAACCTCGGAGCTGTATTTCCTCATGGCTAGTGCTTACTAGATAATTATGGGGAGTAAATAAAGACAAAGAAACAAAATCATGGCAGCTATTTCCAGTCCATCATGTCGCCTTTTCTTCTCTTCTGTTGATTAGGAAAAGACGTTCAAAAATCTTATCACTATCGAGATACACGATAAGGAAGATAAATTATTTAGAGCTTTTAAAGCTAGCTCCCAGAGACAACTAAAAGCTTCCAAAGCATTTTAAATAGTAGGCTGAAAATATAATAAGTTAATATGAGCTGTTTTGGTATCTTGTGTGACTTGTCAGGTAGAGCATTTACTAAAGTCTTAGAAGTCTTTTAAAAATACACCTAGGAAGGAAATATTGCAGGATTTTCTTTTCAAAGGATCTTTACAGTAAAGAACTGGGTATTGTTAACTTTCCCATATATCCTTAAAAGTTTCCCTAGAAATAGGCGGTTTGGGAAAACAAAGCTGTCACCGGCACTTAGTTTCCTTGCTTGAAACTTCACTGGACTTGAGAAATGAGGCAGATTTCTGTTTTCCCATAATTTTTGGCTCTCTCCTCCCATCGTAGCTTTAATTCTAATGATCTTTCATACTTTCCTACATTATTTGCACATTACTGTGCTATCCTAGATCTTATCACCCTTCCCTCCTTGAAGGACTTGCTGATCTTTTGAAGCTTGAGCTTCCCCTTGGGACCAATAGATTTCATATGTTCCTTAATGACCCCTTTGGCTCCTCTGGAGCACCATCCATGTGTGTCTGCCCACAGGATCTGTTGCCATTGCCAAAGAAATAATCTGTTTTCCCCTTCTACAGCATCCGTGTATAAACTGCACTGGTCCTGCTGAGCTCCCTAAGCTGTCAGCGGGGATCTATTCATTGGAGTTAAGGAAGCCCAGCTAAAGCTTGACCACACCTCCATGTCTAAATAAATGAAAATGGCGAATCTATTGCGAATATTTCCTTATTTCCATCGATTCTGCTGTAGCCTGGCTTACAGGGTGCAGTAAATCCCGTCCTTGGTAGACTGAAGCCTCCCGTGGTGCAAACTCCGTCCTACAGACAGACACTGGTGCCAGGGCGGCTTTGGGCGCCGCTTACACGGGAGACGCCGACATTCGCGATAATCTTGAATTGTAACTTAATCTGGAAATTTTTTAAAATGGAAACGAGCGCGCCTGTGCCCGGACCGGGTACCCCGGGATGGTGGGTACCTCAAGGATAGGGGATACCTCGGGATAGGGGGTACAGCGGGACGACGGGTACCCCAGGATAGGGACATACCTCTGGATAGGGGGCACCTGGGATGGTGGATACCCCGGGATAAAGGGCACGCTGGGATAAAGGGCACCCCGGGATGGCGGCCCGGCGCACTGCGGGAGCTCCCGTCACACACGGGGGAAACCCCTTCCACACCCCCATGTCCCCCCCGCGGGCAGTGGAACCGTCCGCTTCCCCGCCGCTGCCTCGCAGGTGAACGCGCGGGACCGTACCAACCGCGGCTGGCGGGGGGAGAGCAGGGCTTCCCCGGCTCCGCCTCCCCTCGCCCCGCTCTAGCCCAGGGCAGCCCGGCGAACAGCCGAGCCTGAAGAACGGGCAGCGAGCGGCGGCCGCGCCGGCAGAGCTCTCAGGGCACTAAACCTGGCCCTGCTACCCCTCCCTTTCCCGCGGGGAAGTGGTATCTCCCATCCCCTCCCGCCGCCGACCAACGGGCTCGACTGCAGCAAAACGGGACGTACCAAGCGCTCCGCCGGGGGGAGGGGGGGGCGCGGCGCGGCGAGGCGTGGCGGGAAGCGCCGTCCTGCGAAACGGGAGCCCGGGGAGCCGCTCCCGCCGAGCGGGGAGGAGGCGGCGCCCGCAGGAGGCACGGCCGGGGCGGCCCGGGGGGAGCCACACCGGGGGTTGATGGGCTGGGGGAGGGCGAGCCCCGGGTCCTCCCCCCCCCGGGTTCCTCCCCCCGCGCCGGGTGCGAGCGGCAGCGTGTGCGGAGGCCGAGGGGCAGCCGCCGCCGTCCCGCCTTCCCTCCCCTCCCCGCCCGGTGCCGCCGCGGGGCCGGTGAGTCCGCGCCTGGATGCTCATCCCCTTCTCCTCTCTTCCCTCCCGCAGGCGGCGGCAGCGGCTCCGGCTCCCTCGCAGCTCCCGGCCGCCTCCGAAGGGATGCTGGAGAAACTAGAGCTCGAAGATGAAGGTAAAAATCCGGGCAAGCGGGGAGGGAAGGGGGGGGCGCGGGCGACAGGCCGGGGACACCCCCGCGCCCGGCGGGGTCTGGGCAGCGGGAAGGGAGCGGGGGATCCCCTCGGCGGGATCGGGGATGCACCGTGCCCGGGCCGTGCCCTTCCCGGCCCCGCATCCACCCGATCCCGCTGCGGAGCTTTTGTCCCGGCGCCGCCGCCGGGCTGTGCCCGCTGCCCTTCCCGGCGCCTGGATCCGCAGTTCCACCAGCCAGGGGTCCCTGCTCCGGGGAGACCAGCCTTCCTCCTCCTCCTCCCCTGGAAACGCTCGTTCTCCTCGAATACATCCGCGATACCAAATATAGGCTTTGGGAGCAGTGATGGAAAGCTCTTTCGGCTAAAGCTTCTTCTCCTTATGGCAGCGCGTACATCTGTTCGGAGCGGCAGCTGTAAACTCGATTTTCCTTATGTGGCCGCTCTCTCGGGTTGTTCTTCGCTGCAGCTCTGACAGAGCGTGCTCTGATCCATAGGGAAACTCCTGCAAGTTCTTCCCCTCTTGCAAGCACTAAAACGTGCTGTGGACGTGGGTTTGGGTTTTTGTTGTTTTGTGGTGTTTTGGGTTTTTTTTCTTTTTTTTTTCCTCGAACTTGCACAAAGCACCCTCTTTACCTCTGAAAGATCCGTGTTGAATGTCTTGAGCTTTCATTTTCAGAAAGGATTAGCTCGGTGGATGCAAATGTGGACGAACGGCTAATCTCCGTGCTCGGCGTCGTGGAGTGGCTGAGACTTCATGGGATGTGTTTTTTTTTCTGTAGTTGGTAGCTGCTATTGTGAGATGTAGGACAAATATTTAAGGAAAACTTTGAAAATAGCAGGCTGAGTCATTCTGTGAGGAGAAATATCTGAAGCCGGTATGCTAATAAGGCAGCTTCTTGGTTACGAGCATGCTGCCTGCAGTTGTGGGACTGGTCTGGAAAAGTAACACCTTTTATTTTAATCTTTCTGTGTGTGAGGAAAGGAAGCTCTTAACAATCGCATTCTTTGAGCTTTTTTTTTTTTTTTAGCAGACCAGACAGAGTTTGAATTGCAATGAAATGCTTGTGCCTTTGTGCAACTTGAACATGCTTAAGTATGAATATTTGGTGCAGTGGATCTGTTGCTAGCTTGTAGGTTTTTTTCCCTCACACTGTTTAACTTTTTAGTCAGTCGTTCATGTTATGCTTATGGAGAGTTAGAAAGCTACCAATTTACATATTTATTTTTACATGAGGCTTGCTATTGCAAGGTACAAGTTCCCAAAACCTGCTGAATCACTAATAGTTAAGCCATTTTAGAAGTTACTTTAAACATCTTACAAATTTAGATGTCTGAAAAGGATGTCTAGCCTAAAACAAAACAAAGTAACAAACCTTCAGTTTTGAAACACCTTTGCACTTTTAACGGTGTAGCATGGTATGATTTGGAGACACTTGATTAGGATGAAGATCTGTGTGTCTTCTAAAACCCTGCAGTAAAATAATACAAATTCTTCAGAAACTTTGGTAGGTTTTGGTTTGTGTTTTTTTTCTTGATTTTCAAGCTTCTATTTCACTTTGTCTCCCAATTTATTTAGCTTTAAAGCTGAGGCTTTGTCTGTGGGTGCTCACACTGGATGGGTGAGAGCAGTTCAGGGTTCTGTCAAAAGATAATGTATAATAGCAAACCTTTGGCCAGTTTAAAGTAGTATGTGGGTTTTGAAAGGAAGCAATCACCTTATTACCCTTTCAGACTTAATGGAAACCTAGTTTTATGCCTAATTTTAAAACCAAGTGGAAAGGAAGTAAAGTGCCGTGTTCAGAACCTAAAGTGTAAGTGAAATTAAGAGCATTGAGAGTCAGACCAAAACTTACTGCTCAGAATTCCTCTGTCTGAAGAGGCCCAGAGGAGCAGAATCACAGGAAACCGAGATGCAGGTGGAAATGCGGCAGCTTAGTTGCAGTACCTGTTTTATGACCTAAATTTTTGCACTGGTTGCTGTCGTTGTGTTTGTGCTAATATTGGGGGTGGGGGAGTAAAGTGACATCTGGTGGTGTTCACTTTGTTGTTGGGTGGCAAGTGGTGAGTGCTCAGAAGTCAAGAAATCTTGGTAAGGTTTCATTAAGTGGCTGTAGCCAAACAGTAGCTGATGATCTTTTGTCAAACTTAAAGTCTCTCTACTGTGAGAGTTAAATGGGAAATTTGAAACTCATTTTGACTTTCCTGACTGCCTCTACTTTGGAGTATTTGCAAGCTTTCCATTTCTGTATCCATCAACAGTTGCTAACTATCTTGTGTATCAAATTATGCTGCAGTTTTGTTGAAACAGGGAGCTTAATAAAAGGAGCTGAAAAATGAGGCTCAACGTGTGCACTGAATGCCATCCAGTGTGTGAAATGGATTTTTTTTTTCACTCTCCTCAAAGGTTACTCAAATGAGAATGTGAAAGCACAGAAGGCGTTCATTTAATTTGGATTCTAATTAAGAGAGTGGAATTGAAAAAATGATACTAGAAAGATTTGTGGTCTAAGTAGTACTGTAATGAAATATGCAGAGTTTGGCCTGGTGATGTGATTTCTAAATAAAATGGTGCTGTAAGCTGAAGGGCAATTTTATTTTCCATTATATACAAAGAATGCACATAAACTATTCTGTGTGTAATTAGCATGGACAGTGTTAGGTAGGATGCTGTTGTTGCAGAAAGAAGTGCTGGTCATCTTTTTTGTTTAAAACATCTTTAGTTCATATATCTACCTGGACTCTCTAGGATCAGTGTAACTTATTGGTCAGTCACTAGTCTGTCTAGGACTGGCTTAACAGTACTGCTGTGGTGATGTGCAAGGCTAAATCTTGGTGAGATAATGTTAAACATCACCAATGCACTACAGCTGAAATAGGGCAGGCTGTAGGCTCATTTTCTGCACATATGGAGTCCACAGAAGGACTGGATAGGCCAGGAATATTTGTTTTCCTTAGGACTCCCTAAAGGACCTTTTTCCAAGCAGCAATCAGAGCAGAAAAGTAAAAACTCACAGGTGTCCAGAGTCCCTTTTTAACTGAAGGATGCTCAGCTTAAAAATAAACAGAAAACTTAGAGTAAAATATTCTAAACTTGTCCTGCTCAGTGTTCCTTGGATGGGAACGACCTACTTGTCGTTCAAGTCGTGTCAGAAAGTGTGAAAGCTACTTGTTGATGGGTGTGGAGTTTCTCATTGTAGCCTGAAATATGGTGCTGAGAGACCTCTCATGAACCTAATAAAAGATCAGAAACTGGTTATCTTTGTACATGTTGTGGGTTTCCTTGTCCAGCTTTGGTGTGTGTGCAGTCATGTTTCTATATTAAGGTTGTTCCTGCTTCTGATCAATGTCAGGAGTGGTTCTGGGTTTTCTTTAATGGCTGATATGGTGAGCTTGGAAAAGAACAAGGAGAAATTATTCTGAAGATCTAACATGAAAGAGGGCTTTAGTTAACAATTTACGCCTAGAAGCTTTAATGTGTTAAGCTGGGGTTCATGAGTGGTTGTGTTCCATCAGCTACCTGTGCTGTGAGAGGAGAAACCAGATTATAGTAGCAAATGAGTAGCAAACACATCCCTGCCAGTTGTATTGATTGCATTGGTGTAGTTTTAGCATATTATTTTGGAAACTAGTTTTGTTGCAATGTTGTTTGTCATCCATGTTAAACTCTTCCTTTTGCTCACTGTGGGTAATAAATAGTATCTGCTGAAAGCAGAATTAACTGCTTTTCTGTAGCATCTGCCTATCTCTTTTTGGGGTGTTTTCTGCAGACAGAGTGGAGTTAATTGCAGGGCTGTGCTGTATCTGTGCTCAATTCCTAGACTAGAAAAAGAGAGTTCTGCAAAGTGTGTGCAGCAATTGTAGCATCAGCATCATGGGGCTGATGTGCTCACTCCTGAATGCTCTGCTTCTCTGGATTGTTGCACAAAGCAGCATTTAGACATTTGATAAACAGTTTGCATTAGAGTGGAATCTCTCCTAGTAATGCTCTGGCCTTCATCTCACTCTTCCTGTATCATCCATCTCTTCTGTTCCGTGCTCGTTTCTGGCTGTCTCCTGAAATAGACTTTCACCAGCAAAATTACTTTCAGTAATTGTATCTACTCTTAACTAATGTTGTGTCTGGGGTCATCCCTTCCCTACTCTGCAGGACTTTTTTACTATTTCTTATTAAAAGTAATTTCTTCTTGAGTTCTTCTGTCTACCATCCTCCTGCTGTCTACTGAATATCTGAATCAAGGTATGAAAACAGATGTCACTTTTGGGCCAAAAATAGTTAAAAGAAGCTTGTAATAAAAGTGCATGTTAGAGTGCAGGCTGGATTTAGTTTCATTCTTAAGACTGAGGGATCAAGTGCTGGGGTTAGGAGGCAGTAAAGTTAAGCCATTCTTTTACAACTGTAATTCATTTCTAGTAAACATTCATTTTGGGATTGTTAAAGCTGATGCTCCCTGGCACATAGAAATGGCATTTTGCCCACAAGATGTGCTTTGAGATACCAGGGGACATGGTGACAGCGATAGGGGATGTTCTACATGAACTTTTCCACAGCTGATTAGAATCCTGAGTGAACATGGCAACAAAACGTTACAGAGATGATAATGATAATTGGAATTAATAGATTTCATATGGCCTTAGAGTTCGAAATTGTTTTCTCTTCCGTCTTTAGAGTTGCTTTGTGATGTGATATGAGGCATATTAGCAGATTCTAATAAATTCTCATTTCTAGTGCTTTTTGTCCTGTCTGTCTGACCTGAAGAGAACACTTGCTTCTGAAACTCTGGACAATCACTTGTTCCACCAGATTTACTCAGCTTATATTTTCCCGTCATTTTGCAACAAAGAACGTCAACAGGACAACGGGTTTTCCTGTGATGTGCTTTCCAGAGTTGTTAAAGAATATCATATCTGGAGTACTCAAATGTTCAGCTTTATTAGTTTATGCAAGAAGTCATGATCAAGTGCCCACTGTCCTAGGGAAGCT